TTAAATCAATATGCGTAATTTATTTATTTATAAATATTTAATTTATTTAAATAATTTTTTTAATAAAAAAAGTTCAAGTAGTTTTACTCCTACAAACCAAAGTACAAGTACTCTATGTCAATTAATTAATTAAAAATGTACAAAAAAAAAATAACAATTATAATTAATATATAAAAAAAATTTAAAAGTTGTGTAGGAATTTTATGTTAAATGGATTTTTTCTTGTTAATAATATTTTCATTATTTTGAATTAAAATATTAAAAGGATTGCAATGAATTTTCACAATTACAAATTAAAATCCAGTCAATGACAAACAAAATGCCTGTGTTACTTGCGCTACACACAAGTAAATGTGCCGACTGTATAATTACACAATTACACTAAAGCACACACAGAGTGACCGACAAACACTCAATAAATTCCAGGCACAGCACACTCAATGCCATACATTACACATAATGACAGTGTATCCGTTTACCATTTTATATATCACAAACCAATCATATGATTGTTGTTGTTGGTATTGTTGTTGTTGTTGTTGGTGTTAAATCTGAACAATTCAGAGCAGAGCATAAAAGTAATGCAATGTAAATACTTACATTTTCAGTATTTAAATCAGTGGCAACACTTATGCGGCTGATTAACTTAATTGGATAAATTTTTTAAAAAATAATTTACAACAATTTTAAATGCACTTATAGCCGCTTATTTATACAACAACAATCCGCAAAAGTGCATTCATATGTTGGAAGGATCAACACAAGGACGAACATGCACAATTTTGTGTAATGCGTGTGTCTGCTTGTGTAAGCGTATGGGATTTTGCCTTGGTGTTTACACATTCGGTTTATTAACATTAAATTAATGAATTCGTAACTAAAAATGTCGAATGTCGAATGAATATTTAAATTAAATGTTGAAAACATGCCGAGTAGAAAAATTTATAGCAAATTGATTCAGCAAGAATTTTTCATGAGAAATATTTTTATCTTTTTTATTTAATTTAATTAAAAACAAATTATATAAAAAAAGAACTAATTATAAAAAAATCAAGCTAGTATTCAGCTCTTAAAAGACTGTGGATACAAAATTTAACAAGCTGAAGTTTTAAGTTTGATTTTGGCGAAGCTAAAATACCTATCTCATTTGAGTATCTTTATTAAAATCGGAAAAAACGCATATATGATTGTTCAGTTTAAGTGGCAGCTATAAGATATAGTAGTTGGATTTTGACCAATCCGACAAATGCTCAAAGTCTGCTCTGAAGAAATATATGTAGAAAACTTTCATTCTATTAGCTCAAAAAGCAGAAAGTAGGCATAAATGAACTTAGCTCGTCGAGCTGATCAAAATTATAGATACATTGTTCGATTTTCTTCTTTACGATATAGAAATCTTGACAAACCTAATATACCCGTTTTACATTTATATATTGGAAAAGTAAACGATGAAAGAAGAAACACAGGCTTTAGCGGATATTACACATCATGATTGGTGCGACAACTTAATGCGACTACTTGGTGCAACAACTTGGTGCGACAACTTAATGCGACAACTTGGTCCGATAACTTGCAGCGACAACTTGGTGCAACAACTTGGTGCGACTACTTGGTGCGACAACTTGGTGCGACTAATTGGTAAAGCAACTTGGTGTGATGTCGCTTGCTATCCGTCTTCTCAGCAAAAAATCCTACAAATGCACTACAAAATAAAATCATGCGTGCATTTAAAAGATGTTTTTAGTTTCATCGCTTAAAATAGAATGAAATTCGCATGTAAGCCGACAAAAATCCGACTGTATACGAAAAAAACACGAGCAAGTCTGGAGAAAAATCAAAATATTTTGATTTCCATCAGAATGCTCGTCATTCTTGCTAATATCTTTATTACTCATGAGACTTGACACCGAGTATGATGTATAATACCCGCTTTAGCTTAGACTGTTATGTTGAAAAGAAGACAGAATTCTTTGATATATTACTCTAGAAAAAAAAAAAACAAAAATTTAAACAAAATTTTAATAAAATAAACATATTTTTTTTAGATATAATTTTATTAAAAAAATTCAGATAGTTCTCAAAGGAAAATTGACTTAGACACTTTTCGTTGTCTCTTTATTCAATCAGCAAGGTATTATTGCAGAACTCCGTATACATATTTCTCTGAATATATACTGTTAGTATTATTAGATAAATATATTATATACTGTCTACAAAGTAATATTATTTTCAAGCATCACCTTGAAAACAAATTGAGCTTCACCTCAATTAATAAAACCACACTTAAATTTAATATTAACAATTAATAACAATTAAATTACTTTTATCAAGTCCCCTTGAAGCTCTGGGCTTGACCCCATTCTCCACACATTTTAAGTAAGCATATTATTAGATATGACCTTTAACTTCTTTAAAGGAATTTCTTGAAAACGTCTTCTTTGAAGTGTTTTTTTTTAATTCATAGGAAAGTATTCTATTTTTTATAAATCTACGTCTAATTTGATTAAAATAAATTTACTTTAACTAGGAAAAAAAGACAATAATTCCTTAATACTGATAATAATATCAGTATTAAAGAATACTGATTAATAAATTATTAAACTGTAATGAAAATAATATTAAAATATATTTTATTTTTTTTTTTATTGTAAAGAATTTGAAATAAATATATTAATAAATATTTTTAATTTATAAATTAAATTAAATTAATAATAATTACTCTCACTCTCACTACAAAATTATCTTCTCAAAGCCTAAATAGTAGGCAATCAAATTGAGTAGATGATGCTTAGACAATAATAAATTTGTCATATAAATATTGTAAGTTTTCACTCAACTGACTAATTTTCAGATACATTCATTAAAATTATTTACTTGTGTATAATTTTCATCAACCCAAAAGCCATTTGCCAAATAAGTTGTTTCCACTTTGCGCCATTAAATAATTTGTTCGAAATTAATTAACTGAAAAATAAGTCTGAACAGAACTAAAAACCAAGCCAAATACCATGCATTACAAAAACAAATTGGAAATTAGAAATTAGAAATTAGAAATGAGAAATTATGAAATTCAAATTAAGCAACAATTGAGCAGATAATAATTCGGGACAGGATGTGTGCGAGCGCAATCCTGCAACAGTCGCTGCATCAGTTGCTGGCAACATGAGTGCATACTTGAAAGAATAATTCGAGTACAAATTTTAGTTCCGACTTTCAGCAATGAAAAAAATTACTTTTATTGCAGTTGGAGGCAGAGTTGTTGGTGTTTGTTGCTGAGTTAGTTGCTGTTGACATTTTACACTTTGTTGCGACATTTTGATTCATCAGCCAACTGAAAATGTTATAAAATTTTTTTCTGATTGCAACAAAGTCATGTTTTATGCAGTTTCAACATCGAAGGTCGCCCTACGTATGCTTCCACACGGAGGAGCTCGAAAAGTTATTTAAATCCAATGCAGTACATCGAGAACAGTGAAGTGGAGTGTTTTTATGAGGATATGTAACTGTTTTCAAGAATTCATATTTGAAGGATTACTCTTCAAAAGTTTTGTAAAATTTTTTATAATCTATATTATACGATCTTATTTATAGACATAAGCGTAATATCTAATCCCGTATATGGCATGAGTTTTTGTGACTATGTGCCGTGTTGGTTAATACCACGATAAGCGAAACTCATGTATAACACACCGATAAATGCCATATTGGTATAAATTCTGCAACAGAAGTTTTATGTTGGGATATAAGTTGTTCCATGTTGAGAAGCAAAGCCCATCTCAGCACCAACTATTTTTTTTTATCATAGCATTAAGTTTGAAAATACAAGTCTACATCGAGTAAATTGTCAATGCCAATACTCTCCCTGAAGAAATATAGATGTTAAACATAGCTATTACGATACTCTCTTAAGAACCCAGTATAAGCATAGTGCTGGAAACTTGGAACTCGTGACTGGCCGAATGTCACAAGTGAAACGTACTTCCTTCCAACCATACTCCAAAGCAATACAGTAGAAAAGGAATTTAAATTTTAGCGTTCTTTTACGACATTCATACCTTACCTCGAATAGTCTAACCCTTATTCCGGCACAATGCTCCACCAGAAGACATATGTTCCACGAGGTGACTGGGATTACAGTAAGTAAGTAATTCCGTACGGAAGAAAATATCAATGATGGTAATTTGAAACTTAATTTAAGTTGACATTGATTTCAATTATTACTTGGTTCCAAAAACGATGGGTGGGTCCGGTAAGTCTGAAAATTTTTATTAACAAATTAATAAAAATATAAAATCTGTATTCAATTATTTATAAAATGATCACCAACAATCCTTTTCAATAATTCCATAGTTATTCATAAATTCAATAAGTTTCTAATCCGTATCTTATTTTGTCTTGAATACACATAGTTTATATATAATATTCCAAGTATTCTTCCTACATGACCCTCTTAAACTGTGCCTCTGCTTCTCTAGTCATTAACGTTAACAAATTCAATACCTTATGCCCTGACATATGTGTAATTCAGTCTATACATTTAGCCGCTGCCAAGTAAATGTTGCTGAATTTTAGGTTATTGTGTTACAACTAATCCGAAACTTGGTACTCGTACGTATATATACGAACTATGCCACGCGTACTTGCAACATGTTATTGTGTACACTTCAGTGGGTGTGTTGGGTGTTTTGGGTGTTTTGGGTGTTTTGGGTGTTTGGCTGTCAATTTTCGTACTCATAACCAACAAAAAGTTGCAATTTAAATTTTGCATTGCCTTTTACCTTTCGGGGACGCAGCTGTTTTACTCCAATAAGCTGAGAGCATACAAGCTGCAACATCCTCGAAAGTTGCTACAATG